CATAATAGTAAAGTTTGAAAGTGAAAAGTCGAGGTGAGGCTCAATATTTTTAAAACTGTCACTTGTTATTTTAGTGATTAATATGAATGGAGAAAGTTAGGAGGAACATCGTGCTTGATGCAATTTAATACTTTATTAATTAATTTAAGTCTCTTTAGTAAATATTAAACTCCTATAAAGTAGAGATGAAGCTATCTATATTGTCGCAATGCATAATAAGCACTTTACATGCATTTCCTTGGAGAATTTTCAGACCAAAATATTGTCTTTGTCCTTGTATTCAAATTGTTTTTGCTTATTTAATATTTGACGTCTATTAAGATTTATTCATCGAGTTAAAGGAGCAAAAAATAATTTAAAAAAGGAGAAATAAAATAAAAATAAGTAGAAGAAAATAAAAAAGAGTAAAAACGAGTAGAAAAAAATAAAAAAGAGTTAAAACGAGTAGAAAGGAATAAAAAAGAGTAAAAGAATATTAAGAGAGAGTAAAAATAAGTAGAAAAAAATTAAAAATTGTAAAAAATATTAAGAAAGAGTAAAAACGAGTAGAAAAAAAATAAAAAAGAGTAAAACGACTAGAAAAGAATAAATAAAAAAGAGTAAAAAATGATAAGAAAGAGTAAAAACGAGTAGAAAAGAATAAAACAGAGTAAGAAATATTAAGAAAGAGTAAAAACGAGTAGAAAAAAAATAAAAAAGAGTAAAAACGAGTAGAAAAAAATAAATAAGAGTAAAAACGAGTAGAAAAGAATAAAAAAAAATATTAAGAAATAATAAAAACAAGTAGAAAAGAAATGAAGAAAGTAAAAAATATTAAGAAATAATAAAAACGAGTAGAAAAGAATAAAAAAATTTTTTTAAATTCAAGAAAGTGTAAAAACGAGTAGAAAAGAATAAAAAAGAGTCAAAAATATTAAGAAAGAATAAAAACGAGTAGAAAAAAATAATTAAGAGTAAAAACGAGTAGAAAAGAATAAAAAAATGTTAAAAAAGAGTAAAAACGAGTAGAAAAGAATAAAAAAATGTTAAAAAAGAGTAAAAACGAGTAGAAAAGAATAAAAAAGATTCAAAAATATTAAGAAAGAATAAAAACGAGTAGAAAAAAAATAAAAATGAGTAGAAAAAAATAAATAAGAGTAAAAACGAGTAGAAAAGAATAAAAAAATGTTAAAAAAGAGTAAAAACGAGTAGAAAAGAATAGAAGAGAGTAAAAAATAGTAAGAAATAATAAAAACGAGTAGAAAAGAATAAAAGAGTAAAAAAAAATGTTAAGAAAGAGTAAAAATGAGTAGAAAAGAATAAAAACGAGTAGAAAAAATAAAAAAGAGTAAAAACATATTAAGAAAGAATAAAAACGTGTAGAAAAAAAATTAAAAAATGTAAAAACGAGTAGAAAAAAATAAAAAAGAGTAAAAACGAGTAGAAAAGAATAAAAGAGTAAAAAAAATATTAAGAAAAAATAAAAACGAGTAGAAAAAAATAAAAAAGAGTGAAAAATAATAAGACTGAGTAAAAACGAGTAAAAAAAGAATTAAAAAGAATAAGAAAAATAAAGAGTACGAAAGAGTTAAAAAGGAATAAGAAAGAGAAAAATAGAGTAATAAATAGTAAGAAAGAATAAACAAAAAAAATAAAGTAGGAATAAAATGCAAATAAAAGTACAATAAAGAATTAAAGAGATCAAAGAAAAATAAAGAGTAATAAAGTAAATAAGACTGGAAAAATACAGAAAAAGCCAAAACAGTTATTAAAAAAGTTATTATTGTTAAAAATCCCGTTTTTCATTACACTGAACATTTCATTATTAGAAGAAAAAGTATATAGAAATTGATGTATGTAGACTAAAGCTATTATACAGTGCACAGAGAAGACTCAACTTTTTTTAAATGAAAAACTTTTTAGAGACTGTTTACAACATAGCTATAATGGAACATATTGCGCAACATTATTGCTCCTTAATATTGCTCTGCAAGTTTCAAAATATTCCTTTTATTAAATTTTCCTTTGCATATTGAGGAGAAAAAATAAACTTGAATTAAATATTTAATCAATATTAAGCAGAAAATTCATCTTTTCTTTGTGCAATTCAATTAAAAATGAAAAAAATCAAAAAGAGAATTTGAATTTCGCGCTAAAATAGTTCTCTAATTGTCCGTTAGGAAAAAAATTCTCTCTCGCAAACGAGATGAAGTGGACGGTGTATATAAGAAGGAAGGACACTCAGAAAAGTTTTCAATTAAACTTGGCAATTATTTATAATTACCGTAGTAATTATTCTATTATTATAATAAAACAATTATTCTAATTAATAAAAATTATTATTAAAAAAATTGTTTTATTATAAAAACAATTATTAGGTACAATAATAATGTTATCATAATAAAATAATTATTCTAATTCATAAAAATAAATTTCCCCCCTTGTTTAAAAAATAGATTTGGAAAAAATTTGTTTTTTTTTGAGATTTCAATATTATAATTTTGGGTAAATGATGAGTAATGATAGGTGAATTTCGAGTATGATGAGTTTCTATAATTTATTTTTATGGGACAAACTACTAAAATACGCCGCTAAAAAAATAATTGTCATATGCATCCTCTTACTATTTTTCCCCAATATTTTGATAACATAATTAATATTAATCACGCAATTATCTTTCAAGTGATATACCACGTGTTACAAAAAAATAGAAAGAGGAATAATAATTTTTATCAATGAGACCATTTTCTCTTATTGAGGAATTTTTGTCAATTTTATAACTATAATAGGTTTTATATAATAATAAATAAATATTTATTTATTTATATAACATATTTCTTTGGATCAGAAAAAAAGTTTATCGAAACTACTAATTTTTGTTTGTTTTAAGCAGCAAAGATTCTTTTTTTTACAAGCAATTTTTGTTTTTGCTATATAAATAAAAGAAGAAATATGATTGAAAATTGCAGGAGAGGAAAAATTCTAATTTTTCATTTGTAATGTAGATTTTTTGTATTTACTTTGACTCTTTTTTTTTTATTTTTTTGAAAAACACAAAAGTGTAGTGTCATCTCAACTGATCGATGATTTGTATTCGTTTATACACGTATGGAAATCGTGATATCAATAAAACTCGACATTCTCTTTCAAAATTGTTTCAATCTTTCAATTCGCGCTCTCGCTTTTATATTTGCTCAATTCTATGCTCTATTGATTTTTTTTTATATTTGTATTTATCAACATTTATATTGCAGTTTCGATTAAAAAAAAACAATTTAATGAAAAATTTTTATGTTAACAAACATTGTATTATAATAATTAAAAATTATTACATAAATTGTTTCTTTAATACACCCAATACATTATTAAATAAAACAAACAAAATAAAAGAATAAATAAAAAAATAAATAAAAAAAAAAATAAAAAAAAAAATAAAAAAAATAAAATAAAACAAACAAAAATTAAACATTAAATAAAACTATTTTTTTTTAATTAAAATTTTTCAAATTAAAATATTAAAATAATTAATATAAATAAATTTTAAATTAAAATAAAAAGTTTCTGTTATCAATTAGAAAGTTAATAATTGTTTTTTTAAGAAAAAAATTTTTTCTTTTATATATTTGGTATATAGAAGAATTAAATGCTTCATTAAAGATGTCTTTTTGTTCGCCGGTCACGTATATATATATACATAAGATAAGTATATGAATCATGTCAAATGTCACGGTTGGACAAGAAAAATACGCGAGTAAAAGAACAACAATTTAAAAAATTAATACTGTTATTGGCACAAAAGGTTCAAACACCTCAAAATGTTCTGTTTTTTTTTCTTTTTTTTCTACATTGCATGACCTTAAAGTGCAATATATAAGACATTTTTTCTATTATTTTTCAATGTCTATTAATTTAATTAATGTTAAATGTTTCTTTAAAATTAATGTTAACATTTTATTTTAATGTAAATTTATAATTTTACTCAAAAATTAAATAAACATTTAAAAATTTGTAATTCATTTAATTTTTAAATAAAACAAAATAGAACGTTAAAAAAGTCAATTAATTATTCATTTTAATTTTAAATTGAATTAATCATTAAATTAAAATTATTATTGTAATTTATTATTGTTAGTTTCATTTTCTATTTCATTTTATTAAAAAATAAAAAAAAATTTTTTAATTACATTTTTTTAATGTTTATTTAAATTTCTTTAAAAATATTATTTATTCAAAATACACTGGCTTTTAGTGGCCGTGTATTAACAAATTAAAATTAATTTAATTAATTAACAAATGAACCTTTAAGTAAAATTAAATAAAACTGAAAAACCTTAGAAAAATTTAATTAAAAAAAAATTTTTATTTTTCAATAGAATGAAATAGAAAGTGAAACTAACGTTAAATTAATTAATGTTAAATAATTAAATGAATTGAAATAATCAAAATTTCTATATTGAATACTATTTTTAAAAAGGAGAAAACGTACAATTTTTCAAAAATAATTTCTTTTTTTTCGAAGTATGTATTTTATAGTGGTTTAATTAGAAATTTGATTTTTTTTTTGTTTCAGTTTTACTACGGGATTAATTTTTTTTTCGTAATGTCGCGCGATAAAGAGTCGATTGTTATACGTATTATATATATATTTTTCGTGAAATATTTCAACGTGTTTTAATCCAGTTCTATATATACTTGTGACGTATCAATTCACGTCACGCTCAACGCACAGGTAAGAAAATGTTTATTCTTTATACGTATTTAGTCTTTTATGTGATTCATTCACCTATTTTTAGAAAATTTTTTTTTTACTTTCAAATATGGTAAATTTGTCAATTCCCCATAATTATATCGTTAAAAATAAATGACACCGCAGTTAATGACTTTAAATTAATTTTCGAGATAATTTCTTTTCTTTCTTTCTCTTTTTATAGAGCTTAATTTAGTTTTAAACGATTTTAGTTCAATTTTTTAAGTAAATAAAATCTATAAGTACTTATAGAAAAGTATATTTTAAATCCTACCTTATTTTTTTATCTTCTGCCGATTGTTCGCTGGTCAATCACGTAATGCGCATGCGTGTTATTCCGATCAGAGGACCTGCCTGAAAAATTTACCCAAAAAAAGGACAATTAAAATAATTTATAGATTTTTTTTTTAAATTTAGAATTAGGAAAATGAGTCACTCATGGGATAAAATTAATAATAGTCTGCTAAGTCTGTAAATAATATAAATGTTTCACGATTATGCGCACGCGTGTCATTCCGATTAGTGAACCTGCCTGGAAAAATTTACCTCCAAAAAGGAAAATTAAAATAATTTTATAGGTTATTTTTTATGTAGGAAAATAAATCACTAGAGGGATAAAATTCTGAAAACTTTTGCAAATTTGTACTAATAGTTATTTAATAAATAATAATAAATAATTTAATAATAATAATTGTTTCACGATTATTAATGCTTGTATTTATGTTATAGCTCTGATTTTCTATTATAAAAGGCTATTTGTTGGTCTGTTAAATTCAGAAATAAAATATAATAATAATAATAATTATTTAATAATAATTACTTCCGGATTATTAACGTTTATATTTACATTATGGCACGAATTTTGTATTTAAAGGCTCTTTATCGGCCTGTTAAATTCTAAAATATAATAATAATAGATTTATTTATTAATAAGACCGAAAATGAATTTAATTATAAATTATAATGAAGTTAGATTTACCAAAAATTTTAATAATTCAAATTCTGAAATTAGTTACATTTTTTAATATATATTTAATTAATTATTAAAAATAATAGATTTATAGAAGAATTTTAATTAAAAATACTTTAAAAAAATTGAATTTTGAAAAAGTTACAAATGATTGGAGAAATTCAATTATTTTCAAAAGTAATAAAATTTTTCGCAAAAATGAAATTATGTTGAAATTTTTTTTAAATAATTCAATTATAAATTCAATTATATTTACAATTTTACATAAATTTCTTTTCAATAATTCAATTATTTTCATAAACAAAATTTCTTACATTTTGGAAAAGTTACAAATGATTGGAAAAAATTAATTATTTTCAAAAGTAATACAATCTTCCTAGAAATTTAATTATTTTTAAGAACTTTAATAAAATTCTTTGCAAAATTTAATTATTTTCATAAATGATAATATTAATCACGTGAATAAAATTATTTTCAAGAGTAATAAAATTCTTTTCAGAAATTCAATTATTTTCAAAAATTAAAAAAAAATTTCGTCATGATTTTAATTATCTTTATAAACAGCAAAATTCTTCGCTGAAATTCAATTATCTAAAAAATTTTTATTAAAATTCTACGCAAACATTCAATTATTCAATATTAATTTCAATAGGTTTTTAAAAAATTTTTTAAATCTTAATTCCTATGGAAAAATAATAATGATTAAATATTTATTTTTAATAAAACTATTGGTTTTCGAATAATTTTACAATTAACGAAATTTGTAAATAAATGTAATAAGAATTTTGAGTATCTAATAATTTTTAGAGTGAATCAGAATATTCTTTAGGGTCAGGGAAAAAGGCAAAATCCAGTCAGGAAAAAGTCTGGAAATCAGGGAAATGACAGGGAAAAACAAAATTAAATATTTGTGGCGCGAAATTCAAAGAAGAAAAAATTTAACTAATGATATATTAATATTAACAGTGTTTAATTAATAATATGTAGATAATAAAATATCTATAAAAAAATAAGTGTGAAAATTTCTTCCTCATATTTAATAAGGTCCCTGAAGTTAGCGTCGTGACGCTGAGCATTAGTGATATTGTTGTCTCTAAAAAACCCAAATAATAGTTTTCAATACTAACTTCAAAAGTGATTTTTTAACACTTTTTTAAAATAAAAAACAGATGAATGATTAAAAAAATGTAGATTAAAATAAATTTAGAACATGTGCTTGAAAAGTTTCATTTAAATAAATAGCCAATTAAAGTCTCTCTACTGATTTTTTTTTTCTTTTTTGCTGATTCATCGTATAAAATGTGAAAAAGTAAAAATAGAAGGAAAATTTTTGTACATATATTTATATACGAATTCAATTGACAGAAATGCGAGTAGAAATATTTTCTTTGATTACTAAATAAATTGATTTTTGAGTAAATTAAATAAATTCAGGAATTTGATTAGTTTTTTTGTTTTCTTTTTCTATTTTAGAAATCTCTTGTAATGTTAAACGTGCATAGCGATGGTTTAATAACAATACAAGTTGCATATCGGAATTTATCGGATGCATCACACTGGAATACAATTCAATTAACTGGGCCAATAGACAGGCTGAATATACCACGTTACTAATACGATTTCAAGATGCTTCTCACATATATGTGAGAGGAAATTAATGATACATCATAAACATGTGTCGAATAAATGCCGCGGGTGTAAATACATATAAATAAATTTTAAATCTATAGAGTAAAACGTTCAGAAACATAATATATTTCCGTGTTCAGTGTTTGAAAAATGCTTTTTTTGGATCGGAAATTTATGACATCAAAAAATATAAATAAATAAAGATTTTGGAATAATTAGATAAATTATACTTTGTAAAAATTTTAGTAAAACTATATATAATTTATTTAATTAAATATTAAATATAATGACGCGCACCGACGAAAGATATCAAAAAAGCAAAAACCTAAAGGTTATGTAATTATGTTTATAATTTTTTGAATGAAAAAAACAAAGAAGGATCAACTCTGAATATTAAATCGAGTATTAAATCATTGATGTTTAAATTTTCATTGCATCTAAAATAATTAATCTCTGAATATTAAATCGAGTATTAAATCATTGATGTTTAAATTTTCATTGCATCTAAAATAATTAATAAAATCCATTTTCAGTTTTAAAATAAACACAGAAACTTTCAAAAAAAAGGCAAAAAATAACAAACATAACGTTAAAATTTTTTGCTCATTTCAAATTCCCTGACTTTTCCAGGTTTTCCAGGTTAAAAAACGGAATTTTTCCGCGGGTTTTTAAAACTACATTTATATTTTACAAAATTAAATAATTAGTCATTATAATTTTTCCATAAGATTTTCAAAAATTTCAAATTCAAACTTTTTTGAAATTAAACAACTTACAAAAAATTATTATAAAACATGAAGAAATCGATCACTCCGAGTCTTCGACTCGGAGCAATCGATATTTTCATGTTTTATAAAAATTAAAAATTAATTGAGTAATAAAATCATTAATTTATATTATTTAAATTAATTATTTTTAATAATTTTTGAAAATTATTTTTGAAAATTATCAAATTCTTTTGTTTGCAATTCAATTTTACGAAATTTCATCGATTACACGGAAATTCTTCAATCAAATATATATTAGAAAATAAAAACTTCAAATAACTTAAAAAAATTTAATTAAACTTTTTTAAAAAAAATTAAATCTACACAATTTTCAGTTAAAAGTATGAAAAATTGAAACATTCAAAGATTATAATCTGAAACCTCCTCAAAATTCAATTTTTTCTAAAAATTGACTCTATGATACTTTATCTATAAATTTGAATTTGTAAAAATGTTTACTAATTGGAATTAGTGCCTAACTTTTTGCTCTTGAATTAGTAAATTTTACTATTAAATTAGTAGAAACGACTATTTATTAGTAAAATCTGCGAATTCACATTTCAAAAGCAAAAAGTCAGTCACTAATTCAAATTAAAAAACATTTTTACTAATTCAAATGTAAAGAGTTTAATATTCAATTATTATCTAAAATTTTAATTAAAATTCATATTTAAATCAATTTTTATTAGAAAATTCTACGAGAATTCAATTATTTAAATGCAAATAAAATGCAAATAAATAATTTATTGAAGAATTAAATATTTTTTTAAATTCAACTCTCATAAAGAATTTTATCAACAAATTTTTAAAATGGTATTTAAAATTCATTTGACGAATTTTAACAAAAATTTTTAAGAATAATTTCATTTTTCGAGAAATTAGATTAAAATTGTATAAAAAATAATTGAATTTCTGTAAAAAATTTGATTGAATTGAGGAGAATTTTTTTAAATAATTGAATTTTGGAGAAAAATTTTATTATTTATAAAGATAAATGAAATTTTGAAGAGAATTTTTTTAAACTTTTAACCGTAATTGAATTTCTGCGAAGAATTTTATTGCTTTTAAAAATAATTGAATTCTTTCAAGAAATTTAATTAAAAATGTATTGACAATAATACTTCAATTCTAATAAATAAATTATAGGAAGGCTTTTTAAAATAATTGAATTTCTTTGATGAATTTTAGTAAAACTTTTTCAAATTTCAATTATTTATAAAAATACAGGCTTTTAATATTCAATTACTATCTACAATTTTAACTAAAATTCATTTTTAAATCAATTTTTATTAAAAAATTCTACGAGAATTCAAAAATGAATAATTTATTGAATAATTAATTAAATAATTCTCATAATTGAATTCTCATAAAGAATTTTATCAACAATTTTTTTAATATTTGAATTATTTCGACGAATTTTAATATAATTTTTAAGAATAATTAAATTTTTCGAACAATTCGATTAAAATTATTTGAAATTCTGCGATGAGTTTCATTGTTTATAAAAATAATTGAATTATTGAATTGAATTCTTTCGAAGAATTTTATTGTTTATGAGAATAATTGAATTCTTTCGAAAAATTTTATTAAATTTTTTGAAAATAATTTAATTTCTGCGAAGTACTTAAGAATTACGAAGATAATTGTATTCTTTCGAAGAATTTTATTAAATTTTTTGAAAATAATTTAATTTTTGCACAAAATTTTGTTATTTTGAATATAATTGAATTTCTTGATAAGAATTTTGTTATAACTTTTGAAAATAATAATTGAATTCTTGGAGTCATTATATTAAAATTTTTAAGAAGAATTGATTTATTTTACCGAATTTTTTTTAGAACTTTGAAAAATAATTAAATTATTTCAAATAATTTAATTAAAATTGTATTGTAAAATGATTGAATTCTTGTGAAGAATTTTATTAAATTTTTTGAAAAATAATTGAATTTCTGGAAAGAATTTTGTTACAACTTTTGCAAATAAAATTG